CGCTGAGGATCTATTATATTAAAGACAATATATACGATATGTCATTCGTTTTAGGGATAGTTGTGACAGCTGTAGTTTCTGTTTACTCCAGAGGTTGTTTAATACCCCATTTGAACGGATGTCAACAAAATAATCACTTAAATAAACGACTGTAGTAACCTTGTTGACGAACGTAACCTAACCTTACCAATTAAGGGTAAGTTTGGTTACCTTAAGATATTTATGAACATATTGAACAAAAGTTAGTTTTACCATATGTTATTATAAGTCATGGAGTTATAATACGGAAAATTATCTCATTTATACACGTTTGTCCGTGTTGATGCATGCATGTGTGTGTGTGCGCATGCAGGCTGGCGTATGCATGCTAGTGCGTGTGCATATCGGCAGGTATGAGGGCGTGTGGTAGCGAGAGTCAATACTTGTGAAGTATTGATAGTTGGGCGGTGTGTTAGGTGTGTTTGGGTGGGGCGGGTAGGCTGGGGAAGCGCGGGGGACGCGTCCCTTCACAGCCTCACCTTCACCAAGTCACGCTTGCCCTGACGCTCCACCCCCCCCCCACCCACCCACTTACATTATTTTCAAAACAAGTCTCTAAAGTACACTTAGTTCAAAACCAAACTTGTTTTTAGATGAAATTCGCCATAATAATTAAAGAAAACCTTTCGGTAACATTGCAAGAAACAGGTTAGGTTAGGAAATGTAACGTTTTTTTTTAACACGGGGATTAGACCACCCGGGCACAGGTCACTGACCCACATCGGGGCCTGGGGGGCGAAAATGTAATAATAATAATAATAATAATAATAATAATAATAATAATAATAATAATAATAATTCATAGTAAATAAAAAAATGAAATTAAATTAATAATAATATTAATAATAATAATAATAATAATAATAATAATTCATAGTAAATACAAAAATGAAAATAAATTAATAATAATATTAAATAAATCCAAAAATGAAAAAAAAAATGAGAAACAATATATGTTTGTTGTAAATATTACGTGACACAATTGAGACCCTGCAATTGTGTGTAAATCGGCAGAAAGTCAGATCAGCAACTTGGACTTGGTCACAATTTTCGTGGTGCCATAATGGCAGCAGGGTCTACCATTAGACAACACGGTTGCTGTAATCTGCAATTTTATCAACCTTTCATATAATTTGTTGTTAAATAATACATGGTGGACAAGTTTGGGCTATAAATGTGATGATTAGAAAGGAATTGGAACTTCTTATAATCATATTTTTGGGGGTGGGGATACAGTACTGGAGATAAGAAGTTGTGAAATTGTTTTGGGGCATCAGCTTTTAAAATGAGTAAAATTAAATCAATGGAACACTTTTTTTAGTTACTTTCATTTTTTTTATTTTTTTATTTTTATTTATTTTTTTTATATATCTTCGCCTCTGATCGATTCTTCAGCCGCTTGGGTGGTCGGTCACTTATCTGTTACTAGTTATTATTGTCTCAATCTAACCTCTGCATTTTATCATCTACTTGCTATGAAATTCATGAGTATAATCTTGCTTAAGTACAGTATCTATTTAATGCACTGTACTTTATCTAATCATGACAATACAGTAATTTCTCATTCAACTGGATTCCACAGAACTGGAAATTCAGACGTCCTCATTGACCGACCACAAAAATATTTGAGAACCTACCATAAGGATGTGTTTGATCTGGATCATACAGTACTGTATACATTTTACTGTACAGTATTGTATGAGTGTGCCCTTAAGTTTGGGACCCATTATGACTTGGTGATGAATATTAAAGTTTGGGGCCCATTATGACTTGGTGATGAATATTAAAGTTTGGGACCCATTATGACTTGGTGATGAATATTAAAGTTTGGGACCCATTATGACTTGGTGATGAATATTAAAGTTTGGGGCCCATTATGACTTGGTGATAAATATTTAAGTTTGGGGCCCATTATGACTTGGTGATAAATATTTAAGTTTGGGACCCATTATGACTTGGTGATAAATATTTAAGTTTGGGGCCCATTATGACTTGGTGATAAATATTAAAGTTTGGGACCCATTATGACTTGGTGATAAATATTAAAGTTTGGGGCCCATTATGACTTGGTGATGAATATTAAAGTTTGGGACCCATTATGACTTGGTGATGAATATTAAAGTTTGGGGCCCATTATGACTGATAAATATTTAAGTTTGGGGCCCATTATGACTTGGTGATAAATATTTAAGTTTGGGGCCCATTATGACTTGGTGATAAATATTAAGTTTGGGACCCATGACTTGGTGATAAATATTTAAGTTTGGGGCCCATTATGACTTGGTGATAAATATTAAAGTTTGGGGCCCATTATGACTTGGTGATAAATATTTAAGTTTGGGGCCCATTATGACTTGATATATATTTAAGTTTGGGGCCCATTATGACTTGGTGATAAATATTTAAGTTTGGGGCCATTATGACTTGATGATAAATATTAAAGTTTGGGGTATTATGACTTGGTGATAAATATTAAGTTTGGGGCCATTATGACTTTATATATATTTAAGTTTGGGGCCCATTATGACTTATGGTGATAAATATTTAAGTTTGGGGCCCATTGACCCCATTATGATTTGATAAATAGTTTGGGGCCCATTATGGTGATAAATATTTAAGTTGGGGCCCATTATGACTTGATATATATTTAAGTTTGGGGCCCGTATGACTTGGATAAATATTTAAGTTTGGGGTCCATTATGACTTGATATATATTTAGTTTGGGGCCCATTATACTTGGTGATAAATATTAAGTTTGGGGCCCATTATGACTTGGTGATAAATATTTAAGTTTGGGGCCCATTATGACTTGTTGATAAATTTTAAAGTTTGGGGCCCGTATGACGGTGATAAATATTTAAGTTTGGGGCCCATTATGACTGTGATATATATTTAAGTTTGGGGCCCATTATGACTTGGTGATATATATTTAAGTTTGGGGCCCATTATGACTTGGTGATAAATATTAAAGTTTGGGGCCCATTATGAGGTGATAAATATAAAAGTTTGGGGCCCATTATGACTTGGTGATAAATATTTAAGTTTGGGGCCCATTATGACTTGGTGATAAATATTAAAAAGTTTGGACCCATTGACTTGGTGATAAATATTAAAAGTTTGGGGCCCATTATGACTTGATGATAAATATTAAAGTTTAGGATAGACTTGATATATATATTTAAGTTTGGGGCCCATTATGACTTGATGATAAATTTTAAAGTTTGGGGCCCATTATGACTTGGTGATAAATATTAAAGTTTGGGGCCCATTATGACTTGATATATATTTAAGTTTGGGGCCCATTATGACTTGATGATAAATATTTAAGTTTGGGGCCTTTTGACTTGATGATAAATATTAAAGTTTGGGGCCCATTAAGACTTGATATATATTTAAGTTTGGGGCCCATTATGACTTGATGATAAATATTAAAGTTTGGGGCCCATTATGACGATATATATTTAAGTTTTGGGCCCATTATGACTTGGTGATAAATATTAAAGTTTGGGGCCCATTATGACTTGATATATATTTAAGTTTGGGGCCCATTATGACTTGGTGATAAATATTTAAGTTTGGGGCCCATTCAGGGATGGGTCAGGATTATGAAAAGGCGGGTCCAAGAAATTTTGGGTGGGGAATATGGCGACCACAGCGAACACACTTGTCAACTGGGGATTACTGGCCCCCCTGATTTTTTAATTTGATCAATATCATGGGCTTTTTGAGGCCCTTTGAAACTATGTACACTTGATATTAGGATATATTCTGAAGTCAATAGTAATTAGTTTTTACTACATCATACAAAAACACCAGAGTATAATAATGCATTAAAAAAAGTATTGGAATTTTCTGATGAAAAGGGGTTTTGGACCCTCCAGTACTTCCCCCCCCCGGGATCCACCCCTGCCATTATGGCTTGGTGATAAATATATAAGTTTGGTGCCCATTATGACTTGGTGATCATTGTGATTTAGGACTTACTGAGGTTCATTGTACTAATGGGCCCTAAACTAATTGAGGCATTGGTAGTAGTGGTGTACTTCATTTTCCACTGAAATTCTGTTTTAATAGGAATTATATCCAATGGCCCGAAGCCCAAACGTGTTTTTTTTCCTCGCTGGGTACAGTACAGGTATATAAATCCAAATATTTCTCAAGTTACCACAACTCTCTCGGAACACTCTGAAAAATAATTAACTTCAAATTCCCAATTACTGTTGAATAAACAGGTAAATGGCATTAAGAAAATTATCCATAGGTTCACCTTGCTTGGGATTGAACCCAGGACCTTTCACTTATGAGGCGAGCATGCTGATAATACACTAAGGGTGACCATTACCAGTACAGGTTTGTAGGTGGTAGATTATATATACTGAACAAAAATAAGTACAGGCACTGTACAGTATTCTATTGAAACTTGATGGATATCTATCTCTCTCTCTCTCTCTCTCTCAAAATGTGGTTTTGTTATCAATATTGTATGGTTTCATCATTGTGTGTATTATTGTAAATGGGCAAGTAGACAACACAGATACAGTATTTAATATTGGTTTCCATAAACAGTTGAGGTTTCTTAGAATTGGACTTGATATGGTTGCCTTAAAAGGGTATGTGTAATAGTACCAATAATGGCTATACTACTGTTATGTTGGCATTTAGTACAATTAGTTTTAGTAATACATGTACTGTATTGCAGTTTAAATAAGCTGTCAAAGGTTGGGGGTACCATAATTTTTTCCAGGCAAATATGAAGACTTTTTGAAGAGCAAATTAATGGAATGTAATGTGATTTCCTGTACAATATTTTGTATGCATACTGTACATCTTTATGAAGACCTTCCCTGATTTTAATTGTTTTTACTGTACTCTTCCTTTTAAATAAGATTGTTTATATTTTCTCTGATCTAAGATTTGGTAAATATGTACTGGTAATAAGGTTTTTGTTTTTTTCTCTTCAGTGGCATAATGGTGGATCAGCAGCAATTTTGTCTGCGGTGGAACAACCATGGGTCAACACTTGTGGCTGTCTTTGACAACTTGTTGGCCAGTGAGTCCCTGGTGGATGTAACACTCTTTGCTGAGGGGCAGCTGCTCAAAGCGCACAAAGTTGTTCTATCGGCATGTTCTCCATACTTCCAGGTAAGTAGTTTTTTTTAAATATTGTCTTTGCATTTTTATTACTGTACTAATGTATTTTTAATACAGTGTATGATATGCATTTGAAATACTATACAGGAAAGGGAGATTATTATATCCCATTTGGGGTCTTTTGAAGTGCAATTGTATTTCTATAATTAATTCTTGGTTTACATAGACCAGTTTATTAATACTATAATGTTTCCTTTATTTCAGACACTGTTTGCTCAAACTACAGATAAGCACCCCATTGTGATATTAAAGGATGTGAAACATAATGAGCTCAAGGCCTTGCTGGATTACATGTACAGGGGAGAAGTGAATGTCTCCCAGGACCAACTAGGACCATTAATAAAAACAGCAGAGTCACTTAAAATAAAAGGTTTGGCTGATGGTAGCAATAAAACTGAAACCGAATCGCATACTTCACACCCTACAAGCCATGACCGGGTCAAGTTAGAAAATTCCCACCCAGATACAGGTGGTCGTTCAGGTCTAGATGCCTTCCCTATTCCCCCAGTCTCGGTTCCTTCAGTGTTGTCTACTGTACTGACAATGCCTCCTGCACTCAGTCTGGCCTCATCAAATCTGGTTGCTCCCATTAAACTACCTAACCTGGCTACCACAACAGTGATGGACCCTTGTCCACGGGAGGATGGAGATTCTCCTCACGCAAAACGTAGGAGAAAAATGCGCCAAAAGTCTGGTGAGGGTGGTGACAGTGGAGACAGTGATGGCCGGTCCTCTGGTTCACCAGGTGATGGTATCCATTTGCCCCGCATACCAGCTACCATCACTCCTATACCACCACATCCTACCCATCGGGATCCACACCAGCAGCAGAAGGAACGTGAGCGTGAACATGAGAGAGAGCGTGAACGAGAACGAGAATGGGAGCGAGAACGTGAGCAAGAACTACAACGGGAGCTTGACAGAGAGAGGGAGCGAGAACGAGAGAGAGAACGAGAAAGAGAAGTAAGAGAAACGCTACGAGCAAGTAGTCCTTCTCCTGAAAATCTTGTAGGGTCATCAAGAGGAGAGTGTCTTATAGATATACCTCGGTCATCTCCAAGTATAATACGATCCTTCAGTGAGCAAGAGCACAGTTCTTCTACCCCCATTAAACCCCTGGCATTATTAGGTCGCCAGGATGAAAACAGCAGTGATGCCAACCATCTGTCAGATGACGATTGTGATGATAGAAGCACAAGTGACCGAATATCTTATGACCACCCAGACACCCCAAGACCATCTACTTCACGCCATCTACCAGAAGATGCTCCCCATACACCCAGTAAGTGTTAACTGTTGATCAAGTATTGTTAGTAATATTCAGTATTGGCAGTTATGAAAATATAACACTTATACACCTGCATTTAGTGAAAAAAATATTGTCCAGATGTTTTGGGTAAAGGTTTTATATATACAGACACTTCCAGGGTTACGGATGGGTGCCGTTCCTGGAGGCTACCCATGCCGGAAGTGACCCTTCCATAGTTAATCATTGAACACACACAGTACAGTACACATACTGTACAAACAATTTACATTTATTGTACTATACCTACACCATACAATACTCTTTTATTAAATAAAAACTACTGTATACATGTGCAGTTTATATAGTACAGGCAGCCCGTGGGTTACAAATGAGTTCCATTCCTGGGGACGTTCTTAAGTCGAAAATGTATGTACAGTAAGTCGAAACACATACTATGTGCATACAGAACAATCCCACTATATCATGGCCGAAGTCCTTATGTACAGTCTCGTTCAAGATTCTTCGAATACTGCTGGTGACAGCTGACAACTCGATTGATCTGTGATTGGTTACTTAGTTCCCTGTTGCTTAATTAATGGTTGGCCTTTATTGTTTCATATTATATTATACTATGTACTATAGTAAACAAATGGCCTTAAGTTGCCAGCTGTCTCCAGCAGTGTTCGAAGAATCTTGAACGAGACTGTACATCTAAAATTACTCTATTTAAGTGAAACGAAGAAATTGAATGACAATACAGTACTACAGCAAATGAAAGTAAAAAATAAGTCATCTGGTAAATAAAATAATGTACAGTTCAGTTCTGTACTGTAAATTTAAAGTTTAACCTTGTTTGCTTCGACTGATGTTCGTAAGTCGAACGCTTGTAACACGGGGACTGCCTGTATAGTACCCCGGTAGTAGCAATAGAGGCACAGGAAAGAAAAATAAGTGGGTCTAATATACTGGAGATCAAAATAATTACCGGTATAAAAAATAAGCATGGAACACAAAGACTGTACAATTAAGTACAATACAGTTACTGCAAAAATAGTGTATCCCTAAATTTGAAAATCCTAACACAAGTCATCCGTAACCCAGGAAGTGTCTGTGTATTTATAGTACATTATACTGTGTGTGTGTGCGCATGTATGTATACGTGTATCAGTGGCGTATTCTTAATGAATGCAAGGCATGCATTGCATGCCGAGTAGGAAGCAAAATATATTTTTAAATAGTATCTTCAATAATACAGATTTAATTTTAGAGTCTTTACAGTTTTCACTCAGGAAAGTCGAGGAGACTAGGCGTCCCTCAATGCCTGCAGAAGGATAAGCCGCATGCCCTCAGTGGACATATAGACGTAACCAACCTATCAATAACATGCTAAAATGAACTTTATTGTGTTGGAGCATAAGGAATTTGAGCCATTTTAGAAAAATTAATACTTTTTTACCTTAATAAGCATTAAGACTTATGTTATATGGTGATATTATATTACCTAAGAGTTATTGTTCCATAAGAGTGGCTATTTAATAAGGTTTCTGTAAATAGGTACAAATGCATGCACTTCGAAAACTGCTTTCACTTGAACAGAGGCTGTGTAGACAGGCTGCGGCTCTCCGTCAGCTGGACAAAACTGGCCCACGTTATTATTTTTAGTGTTTCTAATAACCCTACAGTCCACTTTCACTTATAGTTTTTTCACTTGGGAAAGTTATTCAGTTTTCTGTTTTACTTGAAATAATAATCGAATTATATAAATGAAAATATTTACAAATTATTTAAATGTTCAGCAATAAGATCATTGGCAACTTTACAGAGGGCCAGCGTTGTGCATGACGCCTCGTCATTTTTTTTAACAACTTTATTTATAAATTACTGTAGATCACGCTAAAAGCTTACTATTCTTTTACCGTAAGTATTTTTGCACCCATTATTTAATGATTTATAATAGATACTTTGTCAGATGCTACTGATATAATTTAAGAAATCAAGTGAAGCCGTAATTTAGATTCATAATTAAATGGCAACTAGCCAAACATAAACAGTAGGAAGTAGGACAACAAAGACTCGTCACATCTCTCTTTTATTTCAATTGAAAAATCGTTTTTAAAAAGGTTGATGATGAAAATAGAAGAGTTTTATAACTTTTACGGAAGAATTTTGCATTAAATCTCGGAGCTGAATTTCAATATAAGTAAGATATTTTAATTTAAGGATAGTTTCTTAGGTGTTCATAAAAGCTTGACAACGCTTATTTAGAGAAAGGCCATATCCTACTTAATATTTGATTTGACAAGTGATATATGTGGGTGTTCTGCATGCCTCATCAGTGCAATCATGGTACGCCACTGTTATGTATGTATGTGATTTTATCAAGATTTATCTTGTCCACGTTTCCATTGTGTGTGTGTATATATATATATATATATATATATATATATATATATATATATATATATATATATATATATATATATATATATATATATATATATATATATATATATATATATATACAAATATATATATATGCTGATAACCACAAGGAAAGAAGAAAACACGAAGTTCCCAAGCGCTTTCGTGTAATTTACATCTTCAGGGGTGAGCACAGACTGTACTCACCCCTGAAGATGTGAATTACACGAAAGCACTTGGGAACTTCGTGTTTTATTCTTTCCTTGTGGTTATCAGCATATACCTAGATCACGCATGCCTACAGTGATTTACTTGCATATATATATATATATATATATATATATATATATATATATATATATATATATATATATATATATATATATATATATATATATATATATATATATATATATATATATATATATATATACTATATAATTTTTTTTAATTTTTTCTATACTGTATGTGTTACTGTACCAATCTATTTGTAATTTTGTTGTAGGTTACCTTGGTTGGCCATACCCACCGGATACATCAGGTACCGAGGAGTCTTTTCAGGCCTTAGAAAACACCAATCAAGGTAAAGTGAAAAAGAAAACAGCTTGTGTAGCTTCTGTGGACTGTGTTGTTTTCCATTAAATAAGGTAATAGTTATTAGGCTATTGAATCTAAATTAATGAATTATCCTATATGATATATTTTCCTTATATAACTTAATTTTCTTACAATACTATAATTATATGAAAAGGAGAAAATCTTAGAAATACAGTACAGTACATACTATATTTTCTCAAGTAATTACTTGTGCTGTCCACAGAGGCTTCATTGGTCTAAGTAGTAAAGTAGATATTGGCACAAATCCATTTGTCTTTATTTGTGAACTTTTTTCTAGTTTATTTGCATTACTGTATTATTTTTTAGTTAAAAAAATCCATGAAATATATTTTCATTATAAATGCATATTTTCTGTTTCTTTGACTCATTACACTATGTTTTTATTATTAATTAAAATTTTACATTGCATATTAATATCATATACAGATACAGTTCTTGTCTTCAGTTGTTGAAATTTTGTGCCAATGTAGTGTAGTGTTCCTTCAGCCTTGTAGAGACTAGCTTATGGTGGAGAGTAGCCACATTGTAACACACTTATTGGGCAGTACCATATAATTTCTAGTAGCATTTGTAATTCTTAGTGGGTGAAAGGGTGATGGTGTTGTACTGCTCTGGATCTTTTAACATCTGACTGACTGTCCTCTCCTTTTATGTATTTTTTATTTTATTTTTTTTCTAATGAGGACTAGTCATTATACTACTAGTAGTTATGTTATGCTTTTTATTCACAAGAATAGTACAATTATCATTTAGGTAGACTTTCTCAGTAATGTACTTGTGCCCCATGAGCATGACTAAACTATCATCGTTCTTCCATTAAATTTTTTCTTCTTTTAATTATATTATTCATGCAGGAATGCGCCAGTTACCCATTGCCAAAGAATATTTGCTGAACTTTTGTGAAGGCCCAATAGGTGTGTTCATTTCCTTAAAATTCCAAGTGGTCCCATTCTTATATTTTTATTTGTCAAAATAGTAGTGGATGTGATTGTCATTGCTGTTGAATTTATGGAGGTTGGTAGCTCATGGTTGGCTATGGTATTCGAAATTCCTGTACAGTATTTCATTATCCCTCGTGCGCTTGTGTTTAGTGCTGCTGTTGGCAGTGGTTTGAGTCACTGGTGATAACTTGATGGGATAAAATATGAGAAAGGATTATCGAAAGTGGTGTACAGTATCGGTATTGGGTTGAGATATCTGATTTATTTAATTACATCACATTATTGCTCAAGTAATATGTGATTTACAAACTGAATGATATTTTTACATTGGAAGTGTGAATAATGTTGAAGGGCGTATGTGACTTAGGATGAAACTTTTGCTGCTACTTAGAACTTTCATTAGGGTGTGTAACATGTATAGATTTTGCTTATTCCTATATAAATCCTAAAACCATAAAACTATTTCAAAGAATCAAATAACAAAGATGAGAAAATTATGATACTGTATTGCTTATTGTTTGTGAAACGACACAGCCAAGACAAGTTTCTGTACACTACAGGACACTACTGCTCACACAACAACCTTCTGTCACCAAGTATCTTACCATCAGAAACATTGTCATGAGGGGGAAGTAGGAGCTGATGTCTTCTCTTCCTCGTTGCAGGGATATGGAAAAACAAATTTCTGGCTCCCTACCTAGGCTCCCCTCTGCCCCCCATCCCCCCAAGATCCCACCCAGGCTTGGGCCCGCCTTTTCCTGGGTTGTATGGGCCCCCTCCATCCTCCCCTTGGGGACGCCGCTCCCCACCCACTCCCACCCTATCTGCACCTCATCTGATGTGCGCCCACGAGTGCTCTCGCTGCGGACGCCTCTACAAGACACGCAAGGGTCTGAAGCACCACATCAAGAATGAGTGTGGAGTTGAACCTCGATTTCAGTGCTCCCACTGTGACTGGAAGTTCAAGCAGAAGGCTCACCTTTTAAGGCACGTGGCTCGTAAGCACACTGCAAGCTGAGAACGCCTGCATGCACTTGTAAGGCCCACAATAGTGGCAGGTAATGTCATTATCCATATTGTTTGGTGCTGGGCGGTGGATGGCAGCAAACGGCATGGGGAGATGAGCACATTTGACACAAGTGCTTAATATCAAAAATTTGATAATGCAGGATGTTGGCTGAGCCACCCACAAGGAGGCCCCACCCTGTCTCCCATGAAGCAATTTTGCAGACCAGAAACCTTGATGCAGGAAACCCCTGTAACAGCTACTTACCTGTGGTGGTGGTGGTGGTGTTGGTGTGGCAGAATAACATGGGTGATTCTCCATTGTACAGCAACAATAAGGTGATGGAGTAGGAACACCGAGATCACAATTATTGTGTCTGTTCATCTGCTCACAAGAGCTTACACTCCCAAAAACTCAAGCAACAATGATGTGCTGGACTGGATACTCCAAGAGCCTGACATTGTTCATGCACAGAAGCTCTAAGAACTCATAATTTTCAGCTGATGGTACACTACAAAATTTTATTGTTCATACAATATTACAAGGGCAGTTTCATCTGCATTATGCTTGCAGTAGCTGAAAATTTTATTGAAGTACTGTACATGTATTATTATGTGGGTAATGGACCGGGACCATAATTGTTTTTAATTCAGTGGTACCCCAGTGAACTCTGTAAATATTGTTCTTTAACCTTGGATGTCAATATGTGCAATAATTGTATACTTAATGTGTGGATGAATATGTGGAGAGCAAACAAGCTCTTGTGATAGTCAGGGTGCCTTTTGAAGGCTTTTATGTCAGCATGTGTGGTTCTTTTAAAGCCTTACTATTTTATATTTTCCGTTTTACTTGACAAAAACACCTAGACATTCTATTTGAATATAGGTACAGTATATTGTTAAAACAATGATAAATATCTAATCACTTGTTAAGTATTGTTTAGTTTTATAATGATGGTGTTTGGGACCAGTGAGAATGCTACAAGTTAGTTGGTCAAGTGATAATTAAGAGAAGAGATTTCCACTCAAAGTGCTGGGATTTAATCCATGTGTGCTGTCACACTATTAAACTGTACTTTATATAAAAAAAACATTTATCTTCCATCAGAGTGCAGTATAGTAATTTGTCCAATGTTCCATTGTCAAATGTTGACTGTAAATACATTATATTTTGAATATTTTATGCCTTTGAGCTTAAGGAGTCTCAGACTTATTAAGGTTTAATCACAAACCATAATCTATGGTTGAATCTATTAAAAAGAGAGATTACCTTTATTTTGGGGTGCATGGTTTTTTGCACCCCCAAGGCAGCTCTAGGCAGCCTGATTTCTGTCTCCCAGGTGCTGGTGGCAATTGGGTGACTTGAAAATGGTTAGTGTGCAGGTGTGTCTTTCAGAAGGATAAAGCTGTGAATAGAATGTAGGATCTTTTTTCGTGTGGCTCATCTATCGCACATTTTGTGTGGGTTGTGAGAAAGTCTGCATCAGTTGTGTAAGGTACCCATTTGCCACTATAACACGCAGGTCACAGCGCTCAGTACAAATGAATGCTCAGTGCAATAGTTGATGGTAGTGTGGATTTCTATGATATAGATATGCACTGAGTGTGAGAGCAACAAAACTAAATCTATAGCAAAGATTTATTCTAACCAAAAATGACGACCATATACAATAGTGTAAATAATTTGTATTACGTAATTATTATAGCTGAATAATGATAAAGTTTCAATTAGAATTTTCAGGCGCATGCATGACCAGTGTGTTCATTAGATGTCCCTCAGATTTGTAATACCGTACACTATTGAATTATAAAGAGGAAAAGTAAATGCAAAATAGAAAACCTTATACAGTAGTTTTTTGTACAGTAGTGTGTTAACACAGGGTATTACTGTTGCACTCACACTCGGATGTAAGTCTCCTCCAACAAAAGACTGTCTATCTGTGATTGTTAACAAGTCATCATGGATCAAATCTGTGAGATCTAAGGTCTTGTACATAATTCTTTTTATATGCTCAATAATTCTTAGTTTAAGACTTGAATTCACCCAAGTGAATACAGTACTGTATGCTTAAAAATATGACAGTCAGAAACGTGTTCCTGTTTTGTGACTACAGTACATTTCACCCTCAGAGGGTGTCAAGAGCAAAGGAATGTATATCTTTTTTATATATTTAATTTTGTTTAAAGACTTTCATTGTTCATTGAGAATGTCTCAAATACTCTTAAAGCTTTATTTTTAAAAGGCAGCTGCTGATGGTATATGATTTTGGTGGTTAGCACAATTTTTTTTTTTTTGTAAATACTGTACTATACCTGTAGTTATAATTTCCCCAAATCTTTTTACCATTGAATGATATTATAAGTGGCAAAGTGAATGTTGTATGTTTCTTGATAGCATGAGTGGAAGAGTTGCTGAAATGGTATTCATTACTTAAGTTAAACTAAACAATATAAGCTAGGTGTTGATTAAGCTTTGTCATTCCTTGAAGCAATTAGAGAAGTGAGAAATTGTAAGGATGGAAATAGCTAAAATGATTTGAGATTCTTTTACCTATATAGTACATATTCTTAAAATTTGGCTAGAAATGTGATACACAATGATTTATTTTATAAAATCCTATGAGGGAGTTTTAATAATGATTCAGAATTTAGTTTTGTTTGTACCTTGCCAGGATTTACCAGAATTCATTAAGAATTTCAAGGGGTCTGTGCTGAGATTGTATTAAATGAAATAAGATTTAGCAGATTCCAACAAAGACTGCAGGAGTTACAGCAGTGACCCAGCAAGGGTTTTATAGATCAGCAAAGATTATTTATAGGAAAAGCCAAAATTTTATTACAGCCTTAATATGCATACTAGTATGGACTTGTTGAATATTTCTGTAGAACATGCTACAAGGATTCCATTAGTTGAGAATATCAAAAACTGTGTACAGTACAGGTGTTAGAAAAATAAGAGGAATGATAGAAGAGAATTTAAATGAGTGATAGAAGGGAGATCTGTGGGTACTCTATATTG